TCAACAATTCAATTTAATTGTTATTCATTTAATTTAACAAATATTTTAATTTTTGTCATTCACATTTCATTTTGCTCTTCCTTTTGCATCATTTGTTTAATTATTCTATTTCACAATTTTCTGATATTCTTTGAAATTTTGTCCTGCGGTGACTTGTCCTGTAGTGAGTTAGCCGTGGCAAATTGTCCTGTGGCGAGTTGGCCATGGTAAGTTGGCTGTGGAGAGTTGTCCTAAACCCAACTCCAGACAGCAAAACCTCAGCATTTCTACTTAACAGCAATAGATTAGACTCTCGGTTTCATCCTACTCTGCTACTGGGAACAGGAATACATCTTCCCTTTCTAGCTAGAAGGATTAGGGGAGTTTGTGAAGCATGCTTGGTTCTTTCTTCCATCTCCATCTTTCTAGGGGTTGTTGCATGAAGCTGCTTCCTTACTTTGATCAATGATAGGACTGGTTCTGACGTATTCTTTTTATTTAGAAAGATATTTGATTTTTTAAAAAGTGTTTAGGAAATGAGTTATTGATATCTATGTCAGAGGCCAAAAAGGTATCCTGACATCACATAATATTTGTGTTTTTATTCCTTTGATTGTGCGGAGAAATCAGATAGTTAAATATTTGATAAAAAATTAGCTTAGCCAGATTGTAAGCTGCATCAGATTGATGTTACTGAAACCTAAGTAATGCAGCTATACCCTAACATTCTCATGTGGTATTTTTGGCAGTCACTTTTCCATATCACAGCAACAATCTGCATGACCTTCAAACGCTCATTAATAGATACATGGAGCATTTCCATAGTAACAGATGCTTATGGTAAAGACCTATATGGGCTATAGAAAGCTGTTTTTTAAAAAATTAAAATGAATATATTATGACTTTTAAGATACAGCCTACAAAATAGCTCTTGGTTTTCTCTTTTGTTATATGGAAATGTGTTTTCACAGCAAATGGCAACATTTCCAAATGTTCCAGATAAAGTAATATAGTTTTGCTAGTGTTTTCTGAGGATACCATTACTTGATTGACTGGGGCAGGGAGTCACCCTTAGCAAGTGAATAAATATAGACTGTGCAGAAGTATAATCAACCCAGTGGCACTAGAAATAGTCCTGTCTTGTGGAGCTTCCCAGGATACAAATAGAATTTGGCACATATCACTGAAACATTAGCCACTTTGCAATATATTTAAGCTTTTACAGGTCTTGTTTCATTTAGTAAGATTGTTGGGAATTGGAAAAAGATATTTATTTGTTTTTGCCAGAGAGCTTTTCTTCTAGTTTCACAGCTTTGTGTTTTTCTGATTTCTACTGCTTACAATAAAATGCTGGGCATGTATTTTAGATATGGCTCATTTATAGTGAACAACTTCAGTTGTTTTTCCTTCATTTCATTCTAAGGAACATCCAAGACAGACTTGTATGAATTAACTTGCTGGACAAAGAAAAGTAGGTTTATTTTTCCTTTCCAGATTAAAAAAATATTGCTCTGATCAGTGAGTTATTTGGCTAAATGAATTATATTTCAGTAAACATAAAAGTTTAGGCCTTCGGCTTCAGTGGGTGTAATGAAAAATGTAATAAATTTGCACATACATATAGTCCCTGACTTACGAACACAACTGAGGCCAATATTTCCATTGCTAAGCAAGGCAGTTGTTATTTGAGTTGTGCCTCATTTTATGACCTTTATTGCTATGGTTGTTAAACAAATCACTGCAATTTTTAAGTGAATTATATGTTCCTTAAGAAAATCTAGCTTTCCCCATTGTCTTTGATGGCCAGAAACCGGCTTGGAAGGTTACAAGTGATCACATGACCCTAGGACAGTGCAAAAGTCATGAGGACATGCCAATTGGCAAGTGCGCAAATTTTGATCATGTTACCATGGGGATGCTGCAACGCTTATGTGAAAACGTCATAAGTCATTTTTTTCAGTTCTGTTTTAACTTGGAATGGTCACTAAATGAATAGTTGTAAGTCATATAACCTCCATAATCTAAACTCTGTGGACACATTACCGCAGTGCTGTAAGAGTCTCATTCAATGCACATCTCTAAATATGAGAGCCAAATTTAAAGTACTTTTATCATCCAGTTTAGAAATAATATATAAGCAAGAACATATCTAAAAAATATAACTGAACATTTTTTAAAAAAAATAATTTATATAAGTTTACAAATTTGTGGGCATACAGTAAGATTTTACCAGAGCCTGATATGTGGTAAGAAAAAAAAAATCACATTATACATGAAGCTGTTATGCATTAATTTAAATTTGTTCTAAAAGAAGACAAAGTCATAGATATCATTGGATCTGAATTTATCAGTTGGGGAGCAAAGAATTAAATTCCCTCAACTATTTTATTCTTTCAAAAGCACATTTAGTTTTGGTAATTGTGAATTTCAAGAAATTTCTCAAAACAACTTATATGACAGTAACTACTGCATATTTTATAGATATTTAATGCATGTAGCAGCTTGCCAATCGATGTTGGGAGAGGAAAAATGCTGTGATGGTTTTCATATTGGGAAGAAATAAGGTTTGGCAGGAATAAAGTTGTCCTCTTTTGAAGAAAATTATTTGATAACGAAACAAAACATTTTAACTTTCTACTATAGCAGATATTTCACAGGTTAATAACAATTGAAAGAAGCTCTTTTATTATAAGAATGGAATAAAAGAATGTTAGGATATCTGTCTGAAAATGAGCAAAACAAATTCACATTTTGTTCTGGCAAATGATTCAGTGTGCTTATCCTTACTGTTTGTCCAATCACTAGATTGCTTGAAAAGCCCGTGATATAGAAAAGTTCAAATATGTTTGAATTACAAGCTTGTCAGGTTCTTGATATACCTTTTATACATTATTTGAATGGAGTACATATAGTAGTAACACAAAAGTTCACTCCAGTTTTTTTCTTCTACTCTCCCCATCCTGTTCATGACAGAGGCACCTTTGAAGGCGCTTCCAGGTTGAAAGGATTAGCCAGTGACATCACAGTTGCCCTGGAGATGCCCTTGGGCGCTCCTTTCATGTCCCCGTCAAGGAGCTGAAGTGAATGATGGGAACTGATCCTGCCACGCAGCAGCAGTGAAAGTACTATTGGAAAATAATCTCTAGGGGCTAACCAGTTCAGTTCCTCATCTGCTACATTAACATGCCAATCTTATTATCTGCAATGGTATAGAGGATTTAGCATAAAAGGACTGTGCCAATTTAAAGATAAAAATATTGTATTTTGATGATTACAGCTGCACAATTCTAATTCAACTTTGCCAGTTTTTTCAGGGCAAACAACAAGAGAAAGGAGAACTCTGGAAGGCCAAAGGTACAAGATCTGATTGACCAGTCTCACTGGGGTCATCCCTACTTAAGAACTTTGAGAAATGGAAATAATCCGCTCTGTTCTATCTGCTCAGTACAGGTTTTACCTACTATGAGTCTAATAGCATGCTCAGCACTAAAGCGACAAGTAGCTAATATCAACTGAAATTTTCTAGAATTTATGAGTTGTCAGTACTATAAGCAAATTTGGTATTTTTCCATATCACAGAGGGCAATATTTTTGTTTAGCATATATCAGGGATATACCAAGTAGATACACCAAAGATGATGGGAACACATTTTATGGATCCTTCTGGCCTAGTTCACTGCAAAATTGTAAATTGTTTGATTCCGTCTTCTCTGGCACCACATCTTATATCTTTCAAGAGGGCAGGGATAATTGTTTACTACATTTTATTATATTAGAACAGTTCCTTTAAACATTACCTCATGAAAGACTGCAGCATTAAGAATTCAAAACCACTTTTCTGAAGAGTTCAACTGATTTCCTTGATTTATAGTTTATAGTAGAGACTTCAGAGGCAGAAATTCTAGTTGAAGATTGTGACTTATGTTACATATTATGTATAGCAGCACATTGAGCCTCTTTTTGTATACTAATAGTGTACAGCCTGGAACAAGTCTGGTAGCTTAAGACATTCTACAACATTCACATTTGTGAGACAAAATTTAGGCATCTGAGGCTTGTTTCATGGATTTGATAGGATTTGCTAAATATATTCCTTACCCAACCAGCCATTAGATCTCCTAACATATACGATAATGCTATCAAATCTAGCATAGGAAAGCAATAATAATAATAATAATAATAATAATAATAATAATAATAATATCATCTACTGAATATTAAGAAACCCTACTGAAAAAGTGATGTTATAACAGATAATTGAATGTGTTTATATGTATTACTAATTTTGTTTTTTCTTTAAAAATGCTAGAAAATTATGTTATATTAAAATATATAGGGGATTAATTCCCCTTTAAAATATTTATTAATTCAGAAAAGAAGGCAACTGCGAAAAGACCGTAGATCAACAGTGATAGCTCTATTTAGCCTTGCGTAAATTTGAATTTCTTGGCCATTGTTGGTTTGCTTTTGTTTAACAGCTTGCATATATGGTTCTATTCAGAAAAAGAAAAAGAAGAAAGAAAAACAGAAGCAAGAGAAATAAAAGTTAGATGTAATGGCTAAGATCCACAATAGCTGACTCATGGAACTGAGTTATTGCTGTACTAAAAGTTTTATATAGCCTCTGTGTCCAAATGTACACTTACTGCTTCTTCAGCCTTGACAGTTGACCTTTCAATGTGTGGGCACACTGCCCCAGGGGCAGCAGCATTGGCAGGGCAGACACGGCAGTATGCTATTTAGTAACCCATCTCTACTGTCTTTATCTCAGATAGCAACCCAAGTTGACACTCATTGTATTGGGTGAATGTATATGTCATTGTACTTTTTATATGAAGGCCAATCCACAAACTTTCACATTTCCCCCTTCACACGCTGCTCTGGATGCTCCTGGTTTTAATTTGAAAACAGCCATCCAAATCCCATTGTTATAATCAATATGATTTTCTTGTCTTGGCAATATTTAGGGGTGGTGGTTATTCTTTTCTTTTTTTAAAAAAAGGGCAAAACAAACCAATTAGTCAGACTGTTGTAATTTGGTCAACCACCCGGGTACTATCCATATCTACCATTTCAACACATTCTATTTCCTCCCGATTCTCAGGAGTTTTCTTCTCTTTCCTTTTTTTCTTTGACGGTGGCAGAAAAGTTAGTATCACAGGTAAAATGGCAAAGCAATGAAAGAATGTGACTAATGCTATCAAAAACAAGCACCTGAACAGTGTACGGGTCAGATTTGAAGGCACAGCTGCGAGAGGAATCAGACCAACAATGTAGCAGAGGTAGCTCTGTAAAATCGCTACCCCGTGCACTTCCAGGGCATTCTTTACCCATTTAGTTCTTGTGAAATCTTTGCCCAGGACAAATGTTGACAAGAGAGGTGCACAGTTGTCAACTGTATAATTAATTCCATAAATTAAGCACAACACAGAAATACAGTCCAGCTCAACTTTCCACAGGGTCATAAAACCTATAACTCCAAATTCGACTGAGGCAACTGTGAGTGTGAGCCATACATTGATGAGAGAATCTGCCACCAGGAATGCAGAGAAGAAGAGCAGGAATAAAGCACTAATACAGGAGTTCTGCAAGGGGGCCCCCACATAGGAGGCATAACGATCCATGTAGACAAAGGATGGGTTGAAAACAATAAACTTCACCTTAGATTTGAGAGAGAGCTTTCGTAAGGTTTCCAGGAGGTGATAGAGTTCTTCTCGTTTGGTATCCATGGTCTTAGCTACCAAGAACATTCGAGAGGCCACCACTTCAACTTCATTATTGTATTTTTTGGAAAAAATGATATCCTCTGAAAAATGGGCAAACTGGGGAGCTTTCAGAAAGGAGTTCCTCAGCATATCAGTAAAATTTTTCTTAGATAATCCAGTTGATATGTTGAGCTTTCTCAGATAATTCAAATAGCTCTCAAACCAAGATATCCTTACAAACCCCTTGGTATACTCTAGCATGTCATCTTGAACGGTCATATTCCAATATTCTATTGATTCATAAATATAAAACCCAATGACAGGACTATAATTGCTGAAGTACTTCTGCTGAGCAGTAGTGTACTCCATGGTTCGTGTTGCAGTTGCTACAATGTTACTGAGGTCTGACTCTTCGCTGACCTGCAAGTAGCCCATTAAGGCAAAGGAAATATAAATAAGGTAAAAGAGAACTACAAAAGGCTTGACATACGTGTTTGTTATCCAGTCACAATAATAACGCTTGAGGAAACACACCAAAAGGTGGCTTTCGTAACTGTTTGTTTCCTCTGACTCTGCTGTATCCTCGCTAAATTTGGCTGTCAGAAGAAACCTATACCAAGCAGGCTTCTCTTGTAATACCTCTGGTTTTGGTACCTTTCGGCAGAAGATACTATGCTGGTAGTTGTTTTCTATGTAGCCAGTAAACACGAGGCTGGAACCATAAAAGGAGAGTACATAGAGGTAGTTGAAGAAAATTGCAATACAAGAATTGCAGCAGAAGATCCTGGCTGCTTCAATGTTGGTGAAAGGGCTGGCACCAATCCCAAAAGTCACCAGATACATGGCAGTGGTGAGAGAAAAGGAGAGCATGGAGTCTGCGAACACAGCTGCAGTTCTCTCTTTTACATGTTGGTCTTCTCTAGTTTTCCTCCAGGAGGACAACATTTCAAAAGTTCCATATAATCCGTGCCCTAGAATGAAGAAAAGAGCAACTGTAATGCCGTTATACAATTAGAAAATCAGGTGGCTCCTGCAAAGGAGGATATAGCTAATTGTGCATTGCATGACCTGGGTAATTTAGGAAGAAATTGTCCTGGTGTAGGCAAATGTTCATATACACTGACATGAAAGTTATTTTAAAAGATCGAATTACAGTAATTGCTGCTGGTAGGAATCTGTGCCAGGAAATTTGTAGCCAAGAAGAATTATGCGAACAAGTTCAGTTATGCAGTTAAAGCTAAATTATGCATTTTTCATGCCATGGTTTTACTTTGTGAAAAGTAACCAAAATTAAAGAAACTTCAATAATATTTTTATTGATATTGCAGTTAAACAGAAAACTTAAACATAAAGTCTATGTTATGTGGGATGTAATTCAGATTAATTTGAGCCATGGCACAAATATTTTTTTATTTGTTTTCTTTGATAAACATGCTCAGAAAAAGCCTTATGGATGCTGTCAAAATGTACACATGGGTCTTTTCACACAATGCAAATGCTTGTTTTTAAAGCAAGAGCATCTTTTTGCCTTAATGCTTGAAAATGGATATGGCGTCATATGATTTAGGTAACTATGATATCCTGATATTTATTTTCAAAAATAGATTAAGGTGCTTGATTCAGTCACAATGCTGTGTTAAACACAAAGGCTAGAATTGTTTCTAAAAGTCACAAAGGTAGGTTAGATTGATTATGCATTGAATTCATAATTCTGTGCAAAATTCTATATGCATAGAATCAAGACGTTGCCTAGCCCAGACAATAATCTAGATGATAGACATGAATGAACAGAAATATTATTATAGTTTTGTCATGAATAAAGCTATGGAACAAATATACTGTATATTGATCACTATATTTAAACTTTTAAGGTATAGAAAATTTTAGGTATCTGTTTCACTAGACTAGTTACAGGTATATCAGTTTGATTCTATAAGTAACTAATCAGTACTAAAGCCAATTCGTTTTTATGGCTGAATTCAGTGGGATTAGTGGTGTCATGGCTGATTCTCCACTCAGCCCGGCTTGCAATCAGACAATAGAAACAGGGAGGCAGGAGGGAAAGGGTTGGAATGCAAGGGAGGCTTGAGAGGGAACTGAGGAATTCAAGTGAGCCAATGCTTCCCCAGATGGTCTTAGCACACCAAGGTCAAACGCTGGGAAAACTCTTGAGCTGTTCCAAATGCTCCCAAAACAAAATGAATATAATTGATTGGTGGACAGTGAACCATGGGGAGATCCAGGGGAAAAAGGGGATTTTACCTAGGCTGGTTTTCACACAAAAACGTTAGAACTGGCTTTGCTACTTCTGTGCCTATGTGGAATTATCAGTAAAGTTATACTCTTGGTAAAATAATGTCCCGGGAGTTTCTTTTGCTGCATTTATCAAGGGGACAGTTGACATGTGGTGATGGGAATCCAGTCTAAATAATTGATTTAGCATCATAGCAAAAATTAGAGTTTTATTTCCCTATAAAATTTTGGCTATTAAGGATACCCAATATACAGTTATTTTAACATGTGCAGCGCTGGGTTTGAAATGGAGCTGAGCACCACCCCCTATAGTCAGGTATGAGCCTGGTCATTTCCTACACATGCCCTTTTTATGAAGCACTACTTCTGCAGCATATTATGTCATCTTTGTAAATCAGCTTTCAGTGTCCCAGTGTCCTCCAAAACTACCACTATTCTATTTACCTAGCTAATTATACTGCACTTTGAATAGGATAGAGGATCGGGATAAGCCTCCACTTGTTCTCAGACATCAAATGATTTTTGTCTCAGAAACAGTTGGACAGACTTTAATCACTTGACTATTGCTGAGAAATCTGGGTGTTAATGTCAACAAATTTCAAATCTGGGACAAGCAAGGTCAATGGGGAAGCCAATTCATTTAACAACCGTGTTACTAGCTTAACAACAACAACAACAACTTAACAAGTGATTCATTGAACAACTATGGCAAGAAATGTCATAAAATAGGACAAAATTCACTTAAAAACTTTCTTACTTAGCAATGGAAATTTGGGCTCAATTGTGGTTGTAAGTTGAGGACTACCTGTACTTGTAGCTTACCTTCACTGATACAGGTCTGTGCATCAGGGGAACTCTGTTGATTATAGTGTAACCCACAGACTGTCACACAGGGCAAGTGTCTGGTCTGCAGTGTTCTCCTCTCTAATACTCAGCATCTCTTCACCCACTTTTTTCTGATTGAGTCTTGGACTGTGTTTGTTTAGTTTGAGGGAATATTTATAGAAGATTATGTTGAATGTTTTTCATTTATATAATTTTATGTAATTGCACTGCTTTCTGTTTTGATATTTGCATTTAGCATTGAACTTTGCAGTATTTTTTCTTGATATAGCCAGTACAAAAGTTTGAGTAAATGAATCAAAATGTTACAAATTGGATCAAATGCTTATATATTCATTATAAAATAAATCCTACCTGGAACAGACAGAGAACACTCTACTTCAAAGGTTTAATCAATATACTTTGTTTTCATGCAGTGCAATCCTATAAGTATTTATTTAAATTATTGTTATATCATACCACCAAAACCAATCTTTGAAAGCTAAACTTATTCAGAAAATTTCTTTTGGGCTGTTGCCCATTTAAACACACATTTCTGCATTTGCTTTGCTTAAGCTTCAGAATGTTATCTCTGCAATCATGACAGGCTAAAATTTTCCTCTAAAAATGACCAAGAGAGATTATTGCAGGGATTCTGATCAATACTTCCTGCAAGCCATTTCTCTTGTCCTAACATTGTTATACTTACTATTTTTGCCAAGTTTTTAGTGCTGAACTGATTAATCACAGCCTCCTAATTAATGGCACTCTGGTACAGATAGCCTGTTTTAGATGCTTGGGTACTTAAAATCATTCTGTGGTAAATAAGAATCAGTACAGAAGTTCTGCTTTGATGACATTTATTGCAGTTAAAAGGACAACATTACAGTATTCATGCATTCTTGGAATGGGCAACTGAAAATAAGATTGAACACTGTTGCCATTAATATTGGGGTTTGTGTGCTACTGTAATGAATTCAAGATTAATGCCTAAAGAAAGTGGGCTTTCTCAGATAGGTCTGTTTTCATAGAATTAATCTGGAACCATGGCAAAAGGTTACAAATATCTTTCTGGGTTCATGCTGAATACCCATTCTTCCTGGGATGCCATCTAGGACACACATTGATAAATTAGTTGGCTTCTGACTGATATGTTCAATTTATTTCTAGAGGGCTTGATTGAGTTAATGAGATGCAAGTATTGAGTCTGCCAATATTATAAGCCTTTAGGTAAAAATACTTCTAAACAGAATACCAATTCCATATTAAAAGGTAGGATACTTTAATTTTATCTTCCCTCATGTGCTACTTTAAAAATAAATTAAAAAGCCATTTATGTAAAGAACACCACAAATGTCAATTCCCAAATATTGTATCTATAAATTTTTATAATGGTTTACCTGTAACACGTATTTTAGTGGCACTGAAAAAAGTGACTTATGACCGTTTTTCACACTCATAATCGCTGCAGCATCACCATGGTCACGTGATCCAAAATTTGGACGCTTGGCAACTGGTTCATATTTATTACAGTTGCAGTGTCCAAAGTCATGTGACTACCTTTTGTAATCTTCTGACAAGCAAAGTCAATGGGGAAGCTAAATTCATTTAACAACCGTGTTACCAACTTAACCACTGCAGTAGGTCACTTAACAACTGTGGCAAGAAAGGTCATAAAGTGGGCAAAACTCACTTAAAAACAAACAACATGCCAAAATTCAAACCTTCACATGAAGTTATTCACAAATCATATTTATCCATAAGGCAAATAGGACTAATATTTTTAAAAAATGTCAAAGGATTGTGCAGTTTTTCACAGGAGATCCATTATATTAAATGTCTCCTCTGCCGCAATAAACTATAATATGTACTATCATATTAATCCATGTGCAGTTGGGTTGGTAGAAGCAGACTTCCCTTGCCGTGTTTACTATGAAAGCCTTTTGGCTATATAAGGTAGGTCTTGGCTTTGGATATGGGTGGACAGTGGAGGGAGAAAGAATCTCCAAATAAAAAAATGCTTTGAAGGGAAATGGCAATGATTTGGTGATAGCACAGAGAAGCAGAAGCTTCCCTCCACACACAAATTTTTGATTTTATTTGATTTTTTTTTACAAATGAAAATAGGTTCATTGGAGGCTGAAAAAAGTATTCACTAATTATCTGAAATGTAAATCCTTGTAAAAAATCTGCTCACATCCTTGGGCTTCAATTCTTTCAATTTCAACTGGACAGTGAACTAAATAATTTATTTGTTTATTAAATAACTTCATTTCTCTTATCACTCATATAAGAATGTATTTACACATACATGTACATGCATGGGAGACAGCCAAACAGAAGGAAATGGATCTCAAAAAGGAGATGGCAAACCATCTCCTTTTGACGAGATTATCTTATAGTTACAGCAATTTCACCTACTCAAAGGTCATCTGGCAGAGCAAAGAAACAGGAAGAAGGCAAAGGTTCTTTCAGCATCCTTCCTTATAATCACCTGCTAAGTACAGAACAAGACCTCTAACTGTATTTCTGAGCATTTTGGATGCTATGGGACATCATTTGTAATCGTATCATACAAAACTAGAATAGATGCGTACAGAATATTTGGCATCTATTTGTGGTCAGATGTTTGTTGCTAATCTTTGTTCTCCAAATTGTTTTATGGTTGCTTCCGCTGGGTAGGTCATGACTGTCGATTTGATAACTAGCACAGTGCCCCCATTAAAACTAATTGGGAACAGTTAAACTCCCCAGGCATAAAAACTATCAAAAAAGTACAACTACTGACTGACATCCTATTGTTAATTGTGTTTTAAATAGTTATGGTCTATTCTCAACAGGGAAAATAATTAAGCTCACTTTCACTGCCTCCATAAAGGCAAAATGACCTTTTTAA